TCTCTCACACACACACACACACACACACACACACACACACACACACACACGAAACTACCTTCTCTCTTTTTAGCTCTCTGGCTGTATCACCTGCCGGGGGTCCTTTCACCCACCCACCCACCCACTCACCCTCCTTATTCAGTGGTGATTATAAGTGAACCCAGGAAAGGAAAGGGGAACGAAAGGGAAATGCTGTTAGTCAGGTTTCTTTCCCAAGTCTTCGCAGTTTTATTTTGTGCTGTTCAAAAGATCTCCCCGTTCACTGGAAAATGACAGCGGAGTGGGGAGGGAGGTACCAAACCAAAACAGGGGGATGCGACTGCAGGGTGACCTAAGTTGTTGTTTTCCTGAGAAGTTGGAGACCCTTGGAGACCCTGGGCTTCAAAGGAATGTATTCCAAGGAACTTCCCTTAAAAGCTGCACTTCGGAAGTCAGTTACTGTAACCCGAAGGACTCACAAAGAAATAAGGCTAAGGAACGTATATGCGCCTGTATTTTAGCTAGTTAGAAATACACTTATGCACGCAATACAAAGTCCTTTCCTGAAGCTGCTTAGGGGGGTTTCTCAAAGAAGCAACATAAATATTTGAGTTCAGGAGACAGCATTAATCCCAGATGCATGTCACCTTCGGTTTGTCTATTTAAAAATAAATTCAGTTGTGAGATATTAAAAGTCGCCCCAATACTAACAAGAATTACCTTCCATCCTACTCCTTTGTTCTCCTCCGGTTTTAATAAACTCTAGTGTCTTTTCACTGGAATTTCCAGCGATAGGTTGGTTAATTTACAGGAGAAGCCACCCCCCCCCTTAAAAAAAATGATTATACCAATTTATTTCGTCGGAGATTCAGACGAACACGAAAAAGAAAAGAAAAAGAAAAAAAAAGACTAAGCTGAAAGACAGAAATTTCCACAAAAAATCCCCCTTCTTCTCCCGGAGGAGGGGGGTTCTTTTGAGCCAAATCGATTCTCGGAATCGAAGTTCCCTGCTTGCTCCTTTCTCTTTGCGCTCCCGCCAGACTGTAGATCCAGTGCGGGCAAAAGAGCCTCGCAGATCCATCCAGAGAAAGGGAACAAGCCGGAGTTAGTTCCCCTGGACTAACAAGATCCGGGCTAGCTCGAACAATTATTTACCGGGGACTCAAATGGCTTTCGAGGTAGGACCGGGGGGGGGGGGGGGGGCAAAGAGGGGGGGCTTCCCCCCGGCCCCCCCCCGACCCGAAAGGGGGGGGGCTGGGCCCCCCCCCCCCACACAAGAACGGGGGGTGGCCCCCCCCCCCCCCTCCTCGATTTATTCCCTCCCGAGCCAGCCGGGGAAGCGAGCGAGTGCCGGCCCTCTCCTCGGCGCTTACCTTGGAACCGGTGGCCCAGATACCGGTATCTGTGGATGAGCCAAGGGTAGAAGGTGGACGGGTCCCTTTGCTGCGAGGCGAAGAGCGGGTGCGGCGAGGGCGAGGAAGGCAGCGGGTGGGCGGCCAAGGCGTGGGGCGGGGGCACGGGGTGGACCGGGACGGCGGCGGGATTCGGCGGGTGCGAGACCGCCTCGGCGAAGACCAAGTCCGGGTTGGAGTAGACTCCCCGCCCGCCCGAGTGGAAGCCGTTGAGGAAAGGATTCATGGGGCTGGAGTTGGCATAGCTGAGCGCCGCCGGCCGGATGGGATCCTCGGCGCGGGAGGCGGGCAAGGAAGGGCTGTCTTTGGCCACCAGAGATTCGATGGTGAAGCAGCGTTTCGGGGTCGGCTGGAACATCCTGGCGACGAGCAGACGCTCCTCCGGCTGGCCTGCCTGCCTGCCTGCCTGCCGCCGCTTCTCCTCCTCGGGGTCCTGGCCCGCCTAGATCCAGAGTCCGGCCGCCGCCAGACGGCCGCCAGCGACGGCAAGAGGAGGCAAACGGCTTGGCCGCATGAAGAAGCGAGCGCCCGAAAGGGAGACGCTCTCTGCAGCCGCTCCTCTCGGCTCCCGCGCTCCCTTCATCCACTAAGGGGGGGGAAAAAGTTGCTGGGCGAAGTTGTGGCTTTTTTTTCTTCTTCTTCTTCTTCTTCTCCCACCCCCCACCCCTCTTTCTTCGCCCACCCCCTCCCTCCCTCCCTCCGTCCGTCCCTCCTTCCCGCTCGCTCCTTCTTTCTTTCCTTCTTTCCTTCCTTCCTTCCTTCGCGCAGCGCCCGAGGCGGCCCCTTTTAAGTCCAGCGGCAATCCATGGCAGGCGAGCGATCGGGGTCCCTTTGCCCAAAGTGGCGCAAACGATTTGTTAGTTCATGAGCCTAATTAGCGCCGCGGATCACATCAACAGCTTCCTGTGAAGCCTGGTAAATGGCTTGATGATTGGTCGCTATTACTCGCCTTGAGGTTGAAGGGGGGAAAGACTCTTTAAAGTGCGTCAGAGGGGAGAGGCAAAACTTCTGGGCCACGCGATCCTGGAAGGATGGATCCGGGCCCGGACTGGAACGGACTCGCCCGCCCGCCTGCCTGCCTGCCTGCCTGGCCCGAGACGGAAGGGGGCGAGGAGGAGGGAGAAAGCCGGCGCAAAATAATAATAATAAGAAGAAGAAGAAATCACCGGAGGAGCCAGGAAGAGAGGGACGCGGCGGCGGTCCCGCCAGGAGCTAGGTAGGAACTGAGGGGCGGGGGGGGGGGCGGTTTCCCAGCTTTGAGGAGGGACGGGGAGGAGATGGGACGGGAGTAGGTGGGGAGCTGAAAAGAAGGGAGTCTCTCGTCGGGCTTTAAACCAAAACCAAACGCTTTCTCGAATCCTCTAACGCCGCGCTCCGGTGAGAAGGAAGAGCTGAGGTGTTTTTTGGGGGGTGGGTGGGGGGGTGGGACGGGGACCCATCTCCATCCTTTCTGGGGAAGGTGAGGTTCCGAAGATGGGTCGTGTTCGTGGGGGAGGTGAATGGGCCGGTTTCCCTCTTTCGAGCGTCTTCTTACGCCCCCCCCCTTCACACCTTTGAAGACTCCCCCCCCGTCCGATCTGCAGTCCCGGGGCAGAGAGGGGTGGGGAATCACTTTCTCTTTCGGGGACTTTTCCGGAACTCGTTTCGGGACGCTTCCACCGGGGAAGCGGGGGCAGCGGGCGGCGGAGAAAGAACTCGGCCACTGCCCCGCCGCCTTCTCCGATCGGCAGCAACTTCGGGGAGACTCTTAGAGAAGAGAGATTGGGGGGGCGGGAGGGGCAGGAGGACACAAAGCTGAGCTTGCGGTGAAGAGGCGGGCGCGTCAACCGGGGATTCCGGCTTCGTCCGGGTTTTCGAGCTTGCCGTGGCGTTTGGGGACGATTTTTTAGGCCCGAGTCCTCCTGCTCCCATTGGCTGCCGCGGTCGAATAGTTATGATCACATCCTTCCACTGCGGGCCGCTGCTTCGTGTTTATTGGTAGTTAAGGATCTATTATCTATTCATCAACCTCCTATTTTTCCCAATTACACTCTCCTAAACTGAAGTACCAGCAGGTATTTTTCACGTTCACCATTAATGATTAAAAAAAAATATCTGCGTCTTTTAAATCTATTGGGCGATGTGATTTATTTTCTGAAAGGCGACGAATTGTGTGTGAAGAAGCTTATTTCTGCGACGCAAGAAATCCTCTTTCAGAACGCCCTGATTTTATCCTGGTTCCCCCCCCCCCGTCCTGTTTTCTTCCCACCTAGAAGTAAATAACGCGAGGTATTATTGTTTAAATTGATCCGCACATTCATATAATTGGATACTTATCTGCCTTTTTCACAACAACTCTCAATCAAACAAAACAAGGACAAGGGTTGCTGGGGGAAGCTAGGATGGCTACGATCTCTCGTGGGAAAGATAGTTAGAACTAGGATATAAATGCCTGGGAGTTCCCTTCAGACGGGGCATTTTGTGAGTGTCAAATAAGAAGTGTACTTTTTAAAAAAATCCATAGTCCAATGTGCACTACTTTTATGTTTTATTTGACATATGCAAATAACATAAAATACAAACAAATGGAATATATAAGCGAATGCTGTTGAAATGAACACAATTATTAATATCATATATAATGACATAAAAGCCAAATATTTCCCGGTGGACTGTATGTAGGCGAAAGGGGAGAGCAAAGCAGAAACGCTTTCAGCGGCGTGCCTCCACGAAGAAGCTTATTGGAGTTCTTTAGTCTACTCGCATCGCTGACATTCTCCTCTCCTCCTTCCTCATATCCTGATTTATTGGAATAAATAAAGGACTATTTAATTCAGAGGAGGGTTAGAAAGAAAAAGGTTTGCCCCACAACTTGCTTTTTTACTTTGCGATTCTAAGCGTCTTTTCATTTTCCTGTAAGAGATTAATCTGTACTGCCAAACAATCCACCTCTCCCCCCTTCGTTTCACACGACTAAATATTTTGGCAAGAGCCTTAGAAAAGGGTAGAACGAGGGAAGAGCGGCCTTGGAAAGATCACTTTGTATCTTTTGGCGAATATACTAACCACCCCAATCTGGAATTGAAGATTTCGGTTGATCCAATTATTTTGGATTTATTAGCAAAGGATCGAAGAGATCTCCATTTCTCTTGAAAAACGCGAAATCCACTCACTTCTGCCGGAGCACTTTTATCTCTGCCCAAGCGTGTATACAGAATACCAAATACTATGGTGATAATTTATTTTATCCTTGGTGCATAATGAAGGATAGATAATTCTTCCGAAATCAGCGGATTTGACAAGCTCGGACAGATTGGCGTTCGTACCCAACAGCTCTCTTTACAAGAGGCAGCTGTAGGCCAACAGATTCCTCCGTGGGATGGCAACAGGGGAGAGAAAGGGTTTTGATAAAAATAAGATTAAAAAGGCTTCAGGGACCACTTTACAGCCAAACCAAGTTTGGGTCTTAAAAGTTCCCAAATGGTAGTGGTGGTGGAGATGGAAGAAATACAGCCAGGCCAACCTGCTTCGAGAATATCTCCAATTTTAATTTCTGCCAAGAAAGAAAATCTCACTATCTAAATATCTCCAGTCCTGGAGATTTGAGCCCGCTTTGCCGCGTTATAGTGCTCAATCTCGGGCCTTTAGTGGGTTTCCGGTACGCCGGAGAAGTTTCGGAATAGCGACTTCCGAAGTGAGAAGCCGGCTGAGCTGTTTGGCTTCCTTTTCTCGGTCCAGCTTTGAAGGGGAGCCCGTCCGAATGGTCTCGGCATGGCCTCCAAGAAGATCTCACCTGCCAGGGTCGTCCCTGCTCTCTTTCAAGCCGAAGTAGAACTGGAGCCCGGGTAAGCCCTTCCTTGCCCCGTCCCGCCGCCGACTTTGGACGGGCGGCGCAGAAAGCTGTCTGCCTTGCCGGACGGCAGTACAGTAGGGCCTCCTTTTTCTCCTGGGCTGGGAGTCCGGGCAAAAACTCCGGTGTGTGTTTCTACCTAGGCCAGAATAAGCATCCCGCTTATTCCATGCTTCCCAGGAGCTGCTGGACTGTCGAGAGGCCTTTCCAACAGAGGTTTGCGCTTTGTTGGGATGGGACAACTGTTTATTTTGAATGTGTGTGTGAGACAAGGGGGAGGGAGATTGTATTTCTATTTTTTTTTTCCCTAGACCTTTTCATTCGGTGTCCTGAGTTCGGATCCCCTTCCCCGTGGATCCTGATGATCTGATCCCTTCTTCTCGGTCGCCCACCCATTATTTAAAGACCGGGTCAGATTCATCAACCCCGCGTCTCCAACCATCGCGACCTCCAGAATCCCCGGGAAATAAGTCAGCCAGTATTATACACGCGGGCCCGCGGCGAAAAGTTCAGCCGTCCTGCTCTCCTAAGGCGTTCGCGGGCTCAGCGGATCTGGCCCGGGCTCACAAGAAAAGATCCAGAGGGCGAGGAAGGAGGGAGGGAGGGAGGGCTGGCGGAGAGATAATTGTAAGTGACTTCCGTGCAGACTGAGCTCTATCTGAAGGCAGATTCGGATTCATTGTCCGCTAAGTTGAGCTGTTCCGACGTCTTGCTATCCCAAAGTAATTTTAGCAAGCCGTGGAGGCCCGGCTTGCCTTTTCTCCTATCCTGGAGAGCTGGATCTGCTAAGGCAGAGGAAGGCTCAACCCTTTGGAGATGACAAGAGGTCGGTGGCCTCGAAAGCGCCTATTTCTCCGGACCAGTCAGGTCAAGGGCGTTTATTCAGATGGAGTGAAGAAGCCGCCTCCCGTCCTAGCAGCAGCAGGGAAGAAGGACCGGATATTGGCCTGCGCTCGCTCTCCGTCGGATTTGTTCTCCGTAGCAGCTTCCCCCTCTATCGGAAAGAAGAGCGGCCTTGTCACCTAGCTTGCTTCGGATGCACCAAGAAATCGGCTTTTGTTGGGTGGGCGATGTTCGCGCTTAGCCTTTCCCCAGATAGTCTAAGTAAGGAATCGCTCTTTCGCGAAGATACGCGCGCCGGGTCTCAGAGAACCAGTTGAAGAATTAGAGGGAAGTTCAGGATAAATGTGAACAGGGTCTGGCCCTGAACGAAACCTCTGGCCAAGTGTATCCAGAGAGAAACTTTTGAGAATCGCCAAGCTGCCAACTTGCATGCAGTGCCCGTGACTCGGTAGGAGTCGACCAAGCAGGCCCATCTTTCCTTTCCCCTAATCCGGTTGTCCCTCCTCTTCCTCTGCCAAGAGACCCCCAGGAGGACGCTGGTTTGAGCTGCAGTATTCCTCTCTCTGGCCCTATTTAAGGTCCCAAGCAGGCCAGCAACGTGGCGCTGGAAGTTTGGAAGCTGAAGGGAGATTCTCTGGATGGGTAGAACAACCTGGGGGTGTGCCTGGTTGTGTGTAGCACTGTCAGTGTGCGTGTGTTGTGGGA